GAACCTCAGGGAGTGCGTCCTTCTCGCTTATTATTTCATCGCCATTGATTATGCAGGTTAGCGGTCGGCGGCCGAGGTAACGTGTCTCGGACATTGACAAGAACATGAACACGCAGGACAGGAAGACGAACATGGCGACGATATAGAATGCCCAGGCCATACCAAGACGTTGGATAATCAGAGCGGAAACCTACAAGCGGAGGAGATTGTCAGTGTCTGGATCGCATTTTGCTTGATCTTCTGAGTAACTTACCACTGGTCCGATTTCGTTGCCCCCAAGCACAGAGAGTCCGTAGAATGATACCTTGGCGCCGCGATTGTGTAAGAAATAAATGTCGGTGATTGTTGTGGGCACGATAGACTCAATTGGAGCTTCGAACAGGCCTAAGAATGCGCGACCGACAATGAACGGTGTGTAGGATGCGTTAGAGGCAATCCCGAGCCAGATACAGGCGACGCCCATGAGTATGTTTGACAGCAGATAGACGGGCCGCCTGCCGAACTTTATAGCCAGCGGCCTAAGAGGCGAGATTAGAATTAGCATCATGTGTAAACAGCTGAGACTAACACCTACATCCACAGGATGTTGCCAAAACCTTGACAAATAAGAGTGGCTCCATTAGCATACGTGAGCTTTTGGAGAGACTTGTTGAATCTCGTAGACAGCTCAATCATGCCCGCAGCCATTATCGGCCCTGTGACACTGCCCATGAAAGCATACGTGGCGCCATTAAGAAATGTCACCCATTTCTTGACCGCCGACCAGCGCAACGGATCATTAGGATCTGTCAGAGATGGTTGAGGGACTAGTAACACATGGTTGCCGTCAGAGTCGCGAATGAATTGTAGGTGAGCCGCCCTTGAACCAGCCTTCCCTGTATCATAAAGAAGCTCGGTTCCCGGGGCATTGCTTAGACTAGTAGAACTAATCTCATCCGCCGAATTGGATTGCTCGTATCTAGTCATCTTGAGGACAGGTGACTTTCATTATCAAACTAAAGAAGATCTCAGTTATCCTAGAAAGATGAACATTGAAGTATTAGAATATGAATGAATTCGTCAGTAAAGCAAGTTCTGGGACTCGTCTCCTTTCTGCAGAACGTCCTGTTATCGGGCGAATCAGGTTGCTCACGCCGGGTCCGGCGACCTTGCAGGGTTGACGTGTGAGATGCGGAGGTGTCCCCACCGAGAGCATGGGGAAATCTGGGGTAAGCTTCGACCACTGGATCTTTCTCACTTTCATCTTGGGCTTAGTATTGTCACAATACACTATGTAATGGTGTAAACGACAAGGGGGAAGAATGCTTGCCCAATCGGCGTAATTAGATCCGGAGTCTTGAGGAAAGTTATCAGATGCGATGTGCACATTTCACATAGAAAAGAGCGGGGCAAATTGGCACCGTTATTGATACATATAGTAACCTTTATACTATGTTTTGCTTAGTTTCATTGTTGCCAACTCCAAGCATCCTAGTCCTCGAAGTTTAGGAAGTTGAAGACCAGATTCGTATCAACAAGACCGTTCAGAAAACCACCCATATCCCCAAATCCCCTAAGATCATTATCCACCCCTCCTATGGCATCGGGCATCAGGTCAAACAAATGATCGAACATCCCCGCATTGTAGACTGTTGCTGGGTCAATATTTCGAGACTTCTGTGCCTGGCCATGTTGCCGCTCTTCCAATAGCTTTCTCGCGATGCTGAGCGCTTCTCTGGTGATCTCGAAGCACCGGCGAGCCACTGCGAGTGAGCTCATCGACTGGAAAATCTCAAGACTCTTTTCGATGTCTCCAAAGACAGTGTCTGGAGAGAAAGGATAGATGTCTGAGAGCAGCACATAGAGAAGCACCATACTCGAGTCAAGAACATAGGTACAGTTGTACCACCTGTATTGTCAGATAGTTAGGGAATGTAGCACAAAAGGATGTAGGGCAGATACCAAGTTCGAAAGTAGGGACGAAGCAAGTAAGTGTTGTGCATGAAGCGGATGGACTCCTGTGCTGCCTCCACGCAGGATATAATATGAATTGAGATCGTCTCGCGGTCTGAATTTGTTGCTGCTGTCACTATTAAAAATGGCCTGTGTAAAAGGATCCGAGCATTCCAGAATCCTGAACCGAGCTTGTCAGTGAACATCACCACTGGACATGGAACGCGTATAGTGAGCCTACGTAGTTTTAAGACAACCTTCTGCTTCGTCACGAGTTCTGTTTCGTCAAGAGACACGGTGTCTAAGTTCAGTTGCGGTGGAAGTCTAGACTTCCAGTCTACTAGTCGTGCATCCAACTCAGCACAGCTAGTGGAGCGATCTCCTATCGCAAAACTGTCTTTAAACATGCGATTGCTAGACGAAATTTCCCTCACTATTCCTGCTAATTCCACCATGCAATTGATGAGACATGAAGAAGGACCGGGAATCGCCTTGTGAAACATTGTCAGTCAGGGCCTTTCTGAACAGGCATTTTGGTGACTCACGGTAGCTCTTGGCAATGGGATTAGGTAATGAGATGGCCCCTGAAGAAAAGATTGACGACCTGCTGATAAACACATCTCACTGGTCACTTATTAGTCTGTGATACTATATCTGAAAGTTGGACTCATACATCTCGTGGGAGTAAAGCGCCCTGTATGCGGTTAATTCAGTCATTTCACGCCAATCGGCTTAAATACTTACCACCACATGAGACGTTCCGCATCCGTGCTTGAATGACTTTTCGTCGGAGTTCCAATAGCAAACGCAGTCCGTAGAGCCATGCCACTGTACATATAACAGCTATGGGGCTTGAGAGCATTTTGACAGAAGATTGCCTGAAACAACCAAATAGTAGACACTTAGTATTCTTCAATGATCGCCTAACAGATTGTACGGACCATGAGAAAGAGTGTCTGAGCAGTCTCAAAGGAGGATGATTCAAAAATGTCTCCAAGAAGCTGCTTCGATCTCTCGAAGAAAAGCCGTGCGGCTCTAATGGGAGGGTACGTAGTTGTGCGCGTTCCAATAGGCTCTCGACGCTCATGTTGCTCTAGAAACCTCACAGTGCGATCTAATGTAAGCATTGATGTCTCCCCGGCTGTTATAGCACCAATACCAAGGACCGCATTTAGGAGTGCTAAGAACCTATGTTGTGACTGGCCTGTAGCCGTCGATCGGACACTCTCAGAAATTGATTCATTCCAGACTTCGCTTTCACAGCGAGCGAGGAAAGCTTCCCTGTCGAGAATAGGATGGATGCAGTGGAGGTTCTGAAAGTAGAGCTGGACACATTCTCTAGCTATTTCTGTTTCCGTCGCTATATGAAAGACTACAGGCGATGCAGGTATACCCGATTGCCGTCTCATAGGTGTATGATCATGGACCTTAGAGACAGGATAGTCGGAGCTGTGTAAGAGGTTCACGACAGAGGCGCCCGTCAGTGCTCTGCTTGACGGTTGATCACAAGCATTTTGATTCGCAGCTCGTGGGTTGCGAGACCTTGCTTGAGATTGTAGACGTGAGAGGAAGTAGAATGTGCCAGTCGGCCCGTAGAACTCAGACCCTTCTGTTTGACGATTCACCTCACCAAGACCATCAGAGTCCTGTTGAGACTGGCTGGGTGTCTCAGGGTGGTCATCATGAATCCATGGTCGGCTGGCGCCGTCAGCACAATCAAGAACGGGCGCCGGGGAAGTTTGAACAATGGAGTGGTCCGGCGTAGGTATATCGCCAAGGCATGTAGAGCCAATACCGGAAAGCTCAGCTGGTCCTACATCGGGCGATTGAAGGGCGGTGCGTCGAGGAATCTCTTGTTCAAGTGGATGGTTGGACCTATCGTTACGCAAAGCTATATAAGACCTCTGACTGGTGTATTCAGTGTGCGGTATGCTTACCGTTCACGGACAGCACCCGAAGGCGTCGAACTATCTGCCCGAGTAGGATGTCGCTTCGCGGTGTAGGAACATGTGAAGGAGTGCTCTGTTGGATTCGAAGTCTTAGCAGTTGTAAATGTTAACACGCATGAGAGGCCCTCACGAACGTGAACAGCTGCTGCATGGATAGCCTTGGTCACACTGTGGTCTCTTTTAACAAAAAAGATGCAGTATGGGGTCAAGTCAGCTACATGCTCCATACCTTTACCTTGCGCGTTCGGCACGAGTCACAGACGGCCGAGACACGGGGTCGCCGTTTCTTCTTGCGGGAGCCAGATTCCGCATCAGTCGGATGTAACATCGCCACACAAGCTCGAATGGTTCAACATGGGGTATTTGGCAGGCGAGGGAGAAAACAGTAGACAAGTCAAGATATTCGTATCGTTTAATCTAATGCGAAGTCATACCTCGAAAAAAAATGTATGTATAAGTGACACAGAGCCTTTGTCTGAGTTGTTTGTCACGGGCAGCAGGTAATTGACCGAGCAATGAGCACCATGACGACGATGTGATTAGCGGCCATCATTACCCCAGGTTCTACTTGATGATGTGGAGGACTGACCAATCAAAAGCCTGTTCTCGGCTCCGAAGCTTGCTGTCCGATTGGCTCGCTGGCAAGATAACCCTTAGGAGTCCTAATCTCCAAACTACAAACAGATCAAAGCAAGTGCACGTGAATAGCAAAGACCGCAGGTAATCATTGCTATCTTGAGTGTTTGGAAGTTGGTGAATGCATCTGTCGCTCATCAATTTGGACCTTCTCACATAGCAAAATGACTCCTCCTCATCCCCTAATTAAAGGCGCAACGACAAACGGGGTCGCCCATCACGATCATGCCGTTGAAGTAGATGTTTTGATCGTTGGCGGCGGCCCTACAGGCTTGTTGTCAGCGTATATGCTCTCTAAGTTAGGAGGTTAATATTTGTTGTTTTTGATAAAATTTACTACCGGGTAAGCATGCTGATATAAGGTGAACAGTCAAGTCCCTAGTTGTCGAGAAGTACCCAGAACGCCTAGCGGCACCGAAGGCACACGCTCTGTGCCCTAGAAGCCTCGAAATTTGCAGGCAATTTGGTCTTGACACAAATCAGATGCGCAAATTGGGCTCGCCTCGTGAAGATGCTTATTGGGTCAATTTCCTGACAAACCTCAGCGGTGAGCGCATCGGGGTTTTGCCTTATGAGAGAATGGACGTCGATGTGTTGGACGACACTCCAGAAGTGAGTGCGAAACCCGAGAATTGGATCTGTGCCAACGATAACATTGTTCATTAGATGATTCACAACATCCCTCAGCCCGTTTTTGAGGAGTTTGTTGCACGAAATCTCTTTCATGACTCTAATAATGAAATTCGGAAGGGCGTCTCATATATCTCAAGCAAAGAGGTAGGCTTCTCCAGCCGTATTAGTCGTCCTGATTAGTCGTCTTACACTGTCACAGGCCGACGGACACGTATACACTACGGTCGAGCAACGCTCTACCGAAGCTCAATGGAAAATTAAATCTAAATATGTTCTTGCATGCGACGGCGCGAAGAGTCAAGTACGCAAGTTTCTGAACATCGATTCTGAAGGGGAAGACAGCTGTAAGATGCATGCCTATCAAATGCTAGATATCTATACTAAAAGTAGCAGATGAGACAATGATGACAATTCATTTCAAAGCTGATCTCCGACCTGTTGTCAAGGATCGCGTCGGTATTCTACATTGGATTACTGACCCTGCGTGCTCTGGCTTTATCATCGGATATGACCTTGGCGGAAACCAAGTTCTCATTAGTAACTTCGATGTCTGTTACATCTACATATTTAACTGAGAGGACGTTATATGCTGACATGACCTCGGCAGTCCAAGAAGCACCCTGCCGAGACCTGGAATGAAGAGTTAAGCCGCAGGGTGGTTCGAACTGCTATCGGCCAAGATATTCCATTCGAAGTTTTTAGCTATAGACCTTGGATCTTGAGCAGGAAAGTTGCCAAGAAGTACAGAAATGGTCATGTGTTCTTGTACGCCAAAACCCATCTGTTCCATAAGTCTACACAGGCTCGCTGACCAGGCGATCTCGAAAGAGTTGGAGACGCAGCCCACTCGTTTCCACCAACAGGAGGTCTAGGTCTCAATTCAGGCATTGCAGATGCGCATAATATCGTCATTCGGGTTGCTGCTGTACTCCATGGCTGGGCTTCCTACGAGTCGTTAGACGGCTACGAAGCGGACCGACGGCAGATCGCGCTCGTGAACTCGGCTCAAAGCGTCAAGAACGGTCAACAGATCTTCTCTTTTTTAAAAACACTTGGAACTGCCGACATAGATAATATTGTCGAGGCACGTGCAAATCTGTACCGATCTATCCATGATCCAGACAAGCAGAAAATGATCAACAGGGAGATTGAAGGACAGAGAGAGCACTTTGACAATGTGAGTGGTGAAATGAATGAACATTATTGTACATGCTCATCTAGACCTCCTGTCAAAGTCTCAAACTGAAACTGACGCACATGGTGCTGGTAGCTCGAGATCCATATTGGCTATGTCTACGGAGACAAGCGGGCACCTGTCAACGCGTCAAAGTACTCACCCAAATTCGTCACTGGAGCACGCTTACCCCATGCCTGGATTCAGTTTCCCGGGAGCAAGGCGCCTGCTGACCACGACCATCTCGGCGAGGCGCCTATAGACGTCTCTTATGTGAGAGAGCTTTCCACAGCTCAGGTACAGGCCCGGCAGTACTCAATCCTTGACCTCTGTGGCTTCAGCACCTTTAGCATCGTGGCTTCCACGCGGTCCGAGTGGCTCAACCGTTTTGAGCAGGCAAGCAAGTTCCTCAAACAACGCCTCCCTCGCGACGCTACCTTAAATTTGTGGGGTGCTGGTGATGACTTCTACTTCACTGATAAAACACATGAAAGCCTTTATAACGAAAAAGCAGATTTCTCCAAAGGTGGCGCGCTACTAATTCGACCGGACCAACATATACTTAGCCGCTTTGGTCCGGATACGTCAGGAGAGGACATATCAAACGCCGTGTTTAACTATCTGTCACTGTAAGGGCAGGATATATCCTCTAGTGGGGTTAATATATGGGCGAGACAGCTGAAGCCATGAGTGTACATTCTCTCAGTCTAATGTCCCGTCTCTGAACTTTACGACAAATCCTCGTGCCTCAGAAACCACCTTATCTCTCTAGTAGCTCAAGATATTGTCCCACTACTTCCTTGATTATGGCATCGTATGTGGCAAGCTCAACTCCAAGTACGTCTCGTGTCTATGAACTTCGCATGAGAACGGCTGAGAAATAACGACATGTGTAAATTTCCGTGAGTACATACCTTGTCTGAATCCCATTTCAAGGGTAGAGTCTGCTGTGGCCTGCTCTCCTTGAAGAGACCAGACTTGAAGCATTCGGGAAAATGCTTTTTCACAATGGGAATTGTGTCCTCCCAGCGTGCTTCGACGCTCATGAGGAAGGACTGACCCCCCTTGATATGCGAATCTAATGCTCGAACATGTGCGTGTGCTACGTTCGCACAGAGAACAACATTTCCAACCGCAGGTGGACCTTGAGTGCCCGTCAACAAGGCATTGATCAGCGTATGTGTAGACCCGGTGCGTATACTATTAGGGTTAGTCATCAACTCATCTTTCCCGAAGATCCAAGATGGCATGATGGAGATTAGGTCGAAACTGGTGGCGTTGTCTCTAATGAAAGCCTCCGCAGCGTTAAGCGCCGCTGCTTTACCAACGCAATAAGCTTGTAGCTCAGAGTCGTACGGCGGTGGTGGAACAGCCACACGGCTATCGGGCCCTCGTACATTCTCACGCTCCTTGGTGTCAGTTATGTAGATTTCCGCGGGAGCAATCGCTACTGTGGAACTCGTCATAACAATCCGCTTCACCGTTTTCCCTTTCTCCATTGCGGACTTCAGAATGCCCAAGTTTCCATTCACAGAGGTTGTGACGAACATCTGTTCCAATTGCTCTTTCGGAAGGGTCGATCCCGTCTTCCCTACTTCATCAATTGGTGCAGCAGCATGCACGATAAAGTCGACCCCTTGCACAGCCTCATCATATGCCCCAGGAATCGTCATGTCTGGCACGAGCACAAACTCTAGTTGTGTCTTCGGGAGATTCAGAGCAGTAATCGAGGGAGCCGATTGGACTATGCTGATTTTGGTCTGTGAGCGAGCCGCAGCACGGACTCGATAGCCATTTCTCAGGAGGTCTAGCAGAATGGCAAACCCCAAGTAGCCTGTGCCACCGGTCAGAAGGACAACGTTTCCGGCCATGTTGAACGATTATTGATTTGTAGGAAGTGTTCGTAGCAAGACCTGTTATGGCCTTCATAGTTATATACTCAAAGTCTCGTCTTAAAGGTAACGCAAAAGATTGGTCAAACTTGAATGACACATCTCATTGCCATTTCAGGAAATATGAAAGCTGTAGGGCCGAATAGTACTGCTCAAATATGACTCGTCCTCGACAATTTCGGCACACAGTGCCCCTTACACTATTCAAACATATTTCCTAGGATGGAAAGTAGTGGGTCCAAGCGCCACTCACCAATGAGCTAACACGGAAATTGACAGGCCTCCCGTCGACAAGAAATCCTGTATAATACATACCTCTTAGCAGACAACTGCTATCTTTTAGTCATGTCATCGAGCCTGATTTGCCTAAAAGAATTGCTAAAAAAATCTCGATATATCGGAGTTAACAGGCATTAACGCCATTTAAAAGCGCATTGACGAACCAGATACTATGGTGAACGCTAAATCAATTCGCTAGTCAGAAGGAGGAAATTCAAAGTTAAAAAGACTTTCCAAGGTCAACTCTGAAATCATTCAAAGCATCAGCGAGTACTGCCTGGCAATAGGCTTCCTCCCAAAGGAAGGTGTACATAACCCTGTATATAGAATCATGGACCAGAGGAGACTCTTGCGGAAATTCCAACAGAGAGGATTGGAAAAGTCCCAGAAACCATAATCGTTCCGAAAAAGTTTCAGTCTCATCAGCTCGCCCGATCCCGAGCAGCCCAATATATGAAATCCATAATAGTGCCGCCTTATCATTCGTCCAGATCGCTCTCTCCGGAAGTGCCAGTCCGATAGTATTCTGTAAGCGACTGCAAATTCGGCATACAAGCGGGGTGCCTGGAGGCACTTGACGTAAGGTCACGTACACGAAGACTTGAGCGGCAAGTACAAGTGCGCGTGAGCGTCTGCTAGCATCCGATACGTCGAGGCAGTCTTGGTAAAGGTGCTGTAGGATTGAGGCATCTAATGCATTGAATAGATCTCGTAGGCTTGTTAGCGAAATCTTTGGTGACCGGCGTGCTAATAGCAGTTGTCTTATTTGCGCGAAAATTTGAATGTGGTTATATGATCTATCGTTAATTACTGAGTTATCGAATGGTAGGTGTACATCCTGCTCTAGGGCCGAGGCTGGAAATTTGGGTTGATCTGTGTGCAGAACTGGAAACATCAGCGGACGGCCAAGTGCTGCAGCAACCTGAATATCGGCCCTAAGGTTCTATGTCAGTAGAGAAATGATCTGAAAATTATTTCTTTGATACTTACAATATGATTGACTTGCGAGGAATAAACTTGTTTTCAAGGCTATCACGCCCTCCTCTAGAATTGAAAAGGCCGTGGACGCCGTGTAGGTGCATTTCTGCAGCTTCGAAGTTGCTATCCCAAACCTCTACTAGTACCAAAGTCGACATGGCCGACATCAGAAAAGACTTTTCGTCACCATTGAGGACACGAGAGGGATGTTCTAGTTGAGCCCTGATCTGTCGCAGCGCCTCGCCTTTTTGCTGGATGCCCTCAATTTGAATAGAGGCTTCCAGAGCCAGGCATTCTGCTCTCCACATCACCGCTGTCATTGCAAGCGTGCTGTGCATCATTGGTGCGCTCTGCAATGCATATGGGAGCCACGCATACCCACGTTCGACCAGAGACAATTGCGAATCGAATTTGATCAGCACTAGCAGTAGAAATCGAGGACATTAGTTGTGCATAAATCTATGTGATAGTTCAGAGACTTACAATGTTTGACTAGACAATCGACTTCTGGGTTTGTAGGTATCGGAAGGCTATTGAACGGGTCAATGGCCCCGGAGCACAAAGACTCTATGCGGTATCTCGACGACTGCTTGAAATTCTGATGCGGAAGAGGCCCTGGTCAGCTGCATCATCCGGAGGCAAGAACACAAGGCTCAACCTTACCTCTGCTGATATCTCTGGCGCCACTTTCTCGACTTCGGAATGCTTTGAGCGCTTTTGAAGACCTGCGCGGATCGCATGACTTCTGATGGATCTCGTCACTTTCGAGTCTTTTTTGTCCCCACCTTTCAACGCCACCGCAACGAACTTGTATCGGGGCATTTCAACACATCATCGTGCTTTTTCACTAAGAAATGATAAGAAATGACCTTGTTACTGTCCGGGATGAAATAAGAGCGCGTGATGAAAGTGATGCGGATGCTGGGTTTGGAGGGAACAGCTATGTGGTATAGTTGCACAGACATGTTTGAGCCGGTACAAGACATGGAAACAGTGGTCGCTAGTGGTTGCACTGAAGCAAACATGACTAAGCGGTGCTTTTGTGTACGGAGCCATTAGTGTAGCATACGACACGGCCACACTGTTAATTCAGCTGCCTGATTACTTTCCAATCAGGCATGGGGGTGATGAGACCCGATTTCAAACGTCATCATTGACATATGAATCTCCAAAACTCTATTCAGTCTCGGTACTTGAGGATGGTACGGCGAGCAGCATGAAGACATACCAATTAGGACTGGGGTGCTGTAACACCCCCGAGTTTAGCGGCCTGAGCTGGGCTCTACGCTTACGGCGTATACCAGGGGTCGGCACAACTACTCAAGACGAACGTCTGTCTATTCCTGAAGATTCATCAACGAACCAGCATTTGGGAGCCAGCACAATCTTACAACGACTTAGCCATCTTAGAAACGGAGGCATTCTTCCATATTGGACTACTTGCGAACGCTTGGAGCCTGACTGCGACAGTCTAACAATATAACAACTTCGGAACTCAGATGAGTCTTCTGCTAGATGACGAATATTGCTTAAGAATCTGGAAGAAAGACACAATTCGATCGCTTCTTTGGTTTGTTGACCGGCACAATGCAAACGACTCCACAGCCAGCTTTGGCGGAATACAAGCGCCGTCTTGGTCTTGGGTGCATCTCAATAGGCCTATTTCGTACCGGCTGTGGCAGCCATATGATCGATATATAGATCGTAAGGCAGAGGAATTCATGGAATTGGCTACCGTCAAAACAATGAGTGCGAGACAGGAAAATCCGGGAAAGCTCAATGCTTTTACAGGCATCCTAGAGATTGAGGGCTCATTTGTAGATGCAGTACTCTGGAAATCTTCTATCTATATATATCGATTGCAAGAGCAGGAACCAAGTCAGACAGTGGACTCAGACGATGAGGCGGCGCTGAAAAAGTCCTTGGAAGGAGTAGGGACAGCGGCGGATCCCACGAAGGAAATCTTCTACAAGGCTCCGCTATTCACAGATGATACGGATGGTATTGCGATCTTGCAGAAGGTTAGGCGTGTTAAGTGCCTGCTACTTGCACAGGATGGCTATACGGACATGCTCACGGCGCAATACTCCATTGTACTCCTTGAACAACAGCACAATATTGAGCCAAAGGTGAGCCTGACTGAGCTCAATCGAGAGAACTGGGAGAGGGTAGGTGAGACATTGGCAGGAACTCTCGTCTTGAGGCCGCCGCCAACAGTGTCTTTGCAATATAGACCACAGCCCAGAATGTCTCGACCTCGGCGGTATCGCCGTATAGGATTGTGTGCGACAGATCCTAGGCAAGTTTGTCTTCCAGCGCAAATGAAATGTTCACGATGTTCTTCGAATTGTGAACGTAAAGATTGTCTTGGGGAGCATGGGCAATTTAGCATCGAATGAACTATAGAAAAGCTGATAATTACGGAGAAGGTGGTCCACCCTGCCTCTTACACTACAACTGTAATATGTTGTAATGTCGTGGAGTGTTGAAGCTAGCTACATCTTGAAAAGGGCAAGCCTGGCTGTAACTTTGTGGTCTTTCTCATAAGGTCATGGAATGCAACAGTATCTTGACGGTCTTTCTCATTTGCGTAGCGAACTCATTAGCCACACTACCAGCCCATGGATATATATCTATCTAATAACTCCGTCCAAACATGCACCACTGCTCCGCCATCTTACCACAGTCAGGGTTTAGGCATTTGGTTTCGCCCTTGACGAGACCGTCCGGCTGCTCGAAGGGAATGCACAAGCTCTTCATACCCATAGAGGGGGCTCGCTTGCCCTCAGGGACGTCCTGGTTGTCGTCCGCATTGCTCTTGGTCGTCTCCTTGATCTTCTCCTCGCAGTCTATCGAGAGACAATGGGGAATGAGGACCACGTTCTTCGCATCCAGCGCGGGCACAACCTTGTCCCACTCAGTGATGACAAGACGGTGCTCTTTGAAAGACGCATCGGCCTTGTTGTACAAGTCCTGCTGGATCGTCTCAAGTAGCTCGGGGACTTGTTTGGTTAGCTCAGCGATGGGGATTGTTCCCTTCTCGCCAGTATCGCGACGAGCGTAGCTGACAACATCCTTCTCGGCGTCTTTGGGACCGAACTCTAAGCGCAGGGGCACACCCTTCAATTCCCAGTCGTTGAACTTCCAGGGGGGAGTGTAACCATCTCGCAGGTCAGCATCCACACGTACGCCAACCTTTTTGAGGCTTAACTTCAGTTCATCTAGTTTCTGATAGTGCTTCTCCTTTGCCTCAGGGGAAACCTTGGCGGTGATTCCCACGGGGATGAAGATTGCCTGAATCTTGGCAATACGAGGAGGAAGGACGAGACCCTTATCGTCGCCGTGGATCATGACCATGACACCGATAACCCGAGTGGAGAGACCCCATGAGTTCTGCCAGACGTTGATGTGCTTGCCCTTCTCGTTAGGATCCTCGACGGTGATGTCGAACATCTTGCTGAAGTTCTGGCCAAGACAGTGTGATGTAGCACCTTGAATGCCACGACCGTTGGAAGGAATATAACCCTCGACTGTTGTTGTGTAGTAGCCACCAGCGAACTTCTCATTCTCGGTCTTCTTGCCCCGGACTACGGGGACGGCCAGCAGCTGCTCGTAGACACCGGCATAAAGCTCCAGAATCTCCAACACTTCCTGACCCGCAAGTTCCTCTGTTAGATGTGCAGTGTGACCTTCTTGCCACAGGAACTCTCTCGCTCTTAGGAAAGGAGTGGTTTGCTTGGCCTCCCATCGTACAACGGAGTTCCATTGATTCAGGCGGAGGGGGAGGTCGCGATGGCTGCGGATCCACTTCGCATAGTAAGGGTACATGACGGCTTCGGAGGTAGGACGAACGGCGACGGGGACTTCAAGATCCTTGTCACCTCTGAAAACAAATTAGCTTGACTTTGAGTGTCGGATACCATTAAGACTCACGCCTTGGTGACCCAGGCAAGTTCTGGGGCAAATCCCTCTACGTGATCCTTCTCCTTCTCGAGAGATTTTGACGAAAGGAACATGGGGAAGTTGGTCTCTTCCACGCCCATATCTTCGATCCTTTCCTGGAACCAATTCCGAATGACGTTCCAGATGTACATGGTCGCGGGGCGCATGATGAAGAAGCCGGAGATTTCATTGTAATACTCAATCATCTCAGACTTGAGAACGACCTCTTGGTACCACATGGAGAAGTCCTCGGTTTTCTTTGTGGTGATACCAATGATATCGTCGGTTTTCTTTCCCTGGCCGATATGGAGAGTGGCTTGCTTTGCGGCCTTCGCTGCCTTCTCAGCAGCCATCTTGGCCTGCTTCTCGGCTTTCTTGAGGGCGCTCTTGGACTGCTCTTTGGTGTCCGCCATGGTCGCAGAATTATGCGGAAGTCGAGGTCGAGATGATGCGGCAGGGAAGCCCCAATTGAAAAAGTGGTTGGTATTTTATGCCCAACTTGAGTCACTGGCCGGGTGAGTCGAAATTGTCGAAACGCGGCTGGATTTTGTGCCCCGCCTCGAAGCAGTTGCAGCGTCCCGCGTGTGTTGTATCAAATTGAGGGGCACGCACCGAAGCTCGGGCCACCAAGCCACCATCCCTGTCCAACAGCCCAATCACCAGGACAAGTGTCGGCGGAGTGGAAGAACCTTTGCCTCCGCCAAAAAGTTCCTGCAGCGGGCGGGACCTGGAGCTCCAAAATCGAAGCTGCCTTGCGGCAAGAATTTGAAGCTGTCCACGCCCGTAATCTAAGATACCCACAGCACTCCCGACCGTAGCCACGACTACCATACAGCCAAGAATAGTCGTCCAGATTCTTCAAAATGGCATCCATTTTCGAGCAGCCGGGCAACGGCACGTTGTTCCTCGGCGGCCAAAAGATTTCTGGCTCAGATATTCGGGATCAGAACGGTGAGCTTCCAAGCAGAGGCAGGGGACTTCACGGTACAATTCCTAACTTACCGGCACAGTCCTGGCAACGCAAGCGATCGCAAATGTAGTCAAGAGCTCGTTCGGTCCGAGTGGTCTGGATAAGATGATGGTGGATGATATAGGAGTATGTTGTTCCATCCAGGCTACCTGGGAAGACTTTCTAGCCTGACAAATTACAGGATGTCACGGTCACGAACGATGGTGCAACGATTCTGAGCTTGTTGGATGTCGAGCACCCGGCGGGCAAGATTCTAGTCGACCTAGCTCAGCAGCAAGACAAGGAAGTCGGCGATGGCACCACCTCAGTTGTCCTCATTGCGGCGGAGCTACTACGGCGAGCAAATGAGCTGATGAAGAACCGGATACATCCTACTACTATCATCACCGGCTATCGACTGGCACAGCGCGAGGCGGTGAAGTACATGAACGAGAATGTCAGCATCAAGACGGAGTCCCTCGGCCGCGAATCTCTCATCAACATTGCGAAGACCTCCATGTCCAGCAAGATCATTGGCTCCGACTCCGACTTCTTTGCGAATATGGTAGTGGATGCGATGTTGGCGGTCAAGTCTACAAACAACAGGAGCGAGACCAAGTACCCCGTGAAGGCAGTGAATATCCTCAAGGCGCATGGAAAGGGGTCGCTGGAGTCGTTATTGGTGAAGGGCTACGCCTTGAACTGCACTGTTGCTTCTCAGGCCATGAAGACGCGGATAACAGACGCGAAGATTGCAGTCCTGGATATGAACCTTCAGAAAGAGCGGATGAAGCTTGGTGTTCAGATTACCGTTGACGACCCGCAACAACTCGAGCAGATCCGAGCACGAGAGTCAGGAATGATTCTTGAGAGAGTCGAGATGATACTGAAGGCAGGTGCAAACGTTGTCCTGACAACAAAGGGCATTGACGACCTTTGCTTGAAGATGTTCATCGAAAAGGGGGCGATGGCTGTGCGAAGATGCAAGAAGGAGGATCTCCGACGTATCGCTAAAGCTACTGGTGCCACTCTATTAAGCACTCTGTCCGACTTGAACGGCGATGAGCGGTTCGAGCCGTCATACCTAGGACATGCTGAGGAAGTTGTGCAAGAGCGAATTTCCGATGACGAGTGCATTCTAGTAAAGGGAACGAAGACCCATTCTTCCGCCTCCATCATTCTACGTGGACCGAATGATTACCAGCTCGACGAGATGGAGCGGTCGATTCACGATTCGCTCATGGCAGTCAAGCGGACACTTGAGAGCGGTAGCATTGTACCTGGTGGTGGCGCTGCTGAGACGGCCCTTCACATCTACCTAGAAGAATACGCCGGCACAGTTGGCTCAAGGGAGCAGCTAGCAATCGGTGAATTCGCCCAAGCTCTTCTGGTCATCCCGAAGACCCTGGCAGTGAATGCCGCCAAGGATGCATCAGAGCTCGTAGCGCAGCTACGGTCACGGCATGCTCTTTCCCAGCGGATCCAAGAAGGTGACGCTAACGAGGATGAGAAGTCCATAGCTCGCAAGAAGAGCTACAAGAACTATGGTCTTGATCTGACGCGTGGCAAGGTCATTGACGAGATCAAGGCAGGTGTTGTGGAGCCGAGTTTGAGCAAAGTTCGCCAGTTGAAGAGTGCGGTCGAGGCGTGCATCAGCATCATGAGGATCGATACCCTAATCAAGTTGGACCCGGAGCAAAGAGGTGAGGAGGACGATGGCCATGGCCATTAGGAACGATTAAAATAGACTGTAGGCGTAGGAAGGAACAGGGTCACGATATGTCTAGACGAGCATGAATCAAAGATCTTGTACAACATCAAAATCAGTAGCTTTTTAATTTCCTCTTCCTGGGTGACGGTTTATTACTTTCGAAAACCTTCCTCAACACCAACCGAACTTTTCATTAGCAACCCAGTCGATGTCCGAGGTTTGCGCCTCGCCATACCATGCCAACGATGCTATGCTTTCTGTGTCTCGATCAACGAATTCATGCTGTAAACCAGCCTTGGCTACGACCTGCCTCAACAATGGCGTTGGGTTCCACATTTGTGCTTCTTGGATCCTCCATTCTGCAGCCTCTGCTTGTGCGACCTCAATGACAGACCGGAAGCCTTCTGCGAGATAGTCCTCTGATGCCGTTTCGTCTTCAACCGCGAATCGCAAGATGAACAGAGTGTTTCCTTCGACCTTGTCAATCCCGCCGTAATATCCCCTGATCCACACAGCCCACAGTCGTTTCCCCGCCTCTCCATAAACAGCACCCCTTATTGTTGGTGTCTTGCCAAATATTCGCTTCGTCATGAAATCCTCTCGCATGAGATGCCATAGCATCTGGTCCAGATCCGGTACTAGAGCTGCAGATGGTCTTCGATCCTTCGATTCGTGTGCTCTCTTTTGCACTCTTATTCTCAAGAGCTTCTCGTCCACGGCACACAGCTCTGCGAGCTCATGGTAGCCTAAGGGCTTGGCAGCCCCTGAGACACTCCCTCCTTCCGCTCGCGCAACGGGTGGAAATGCCAAATGAGAACTCTCAAACGGAGCCCAGCCAGATTTCGCGTAGAAGGCCTTGCCAATGTCCGAATAAAGCACTGAGAATCTGGAGTTGGGCATGGCGTGTCCGTTGACATCCTTACTACCAGCAGGCGGCCACCGCGCCAGCGTGGGATTGAGCTCCTTCATCATCCGCGAGGCGTATCCCTTCCCTCGGTACTGAGGATCAGTAAACACCGAAAAGATTCCATGCCCAATGGCGTCCTGGACCTTGCCCCCGTCGACGCCCGCTTGACAGACCAGTGCGCGCTTGCGCAAGCTCTCGCAGCTGGAAAGGATTGGCCTCTGGTTAGGCGGCGAGTCATCTGTCAGAATCCAATGCGTGACGCCGCCGTCCTTTGCCAACGGCACGGTGGTTAGATATTCTTCTCTGTGGAGGTAATCCTCGAGGCTTAAAGCTTGCCCCCACATCGTATGGTGCAGCGCCCATGTCTTTTTCTTCTCCTCTGGTGTTGGGTGCGTCAACACCAGGGATGGGGCAGAGACGTCAGGAAGAGTTGCTGACGATCCCATATTGATTGTTATTGTACAGTGGCAGCTATTCTGTTGTCAAGGCGGGTCAAAAATAAACATGGATTGAGATGTGAAATGTGTTGATCTTGTCAATTGCCCATTTATGAATGAACAAAGAAACACCAGATGTGAATCAGCATGCTCCGTTCCATTTATCGTATTACAGTACATTTAGGTTTCGGCGGACCACACACATGCAATCAAGCTATCTCCACTTGCCCACATGAGCCGTCCCGAATGTTCCAAACTTCTTCGCAACGTCCTCGAAAAAAGTGGCGTCTCGAATGACTGAAAGCGACAAATAGCAGTTCAAATCAAGAAAAGTAATGGACTCGTTCCCAGGTCATGAGCACGCATGGACCAATTTTAGACGTAATATTTTACGTCAGAAGTCAATTGGAGATGTCTCGATTTGCGCAGACGCGGACGCCAGAAACAAAGGGGTCCCTCGGATGCGGTGCGGAGACGGTGAAGAAGGCCCACTGCGCCGCCGCTCTCCACCTCCACAGTGGATGAAAGCCGATGGTATGCGGCCACCGGGGTGTTCCGCGTAGTTGAAGGTTGGGAGTAGGTACACTAGTTGAGGTACTAAAAATGTCATCATAGGATTGTTTATCGAATTGTCTTCTTCTAGGGTACTGTTCTCATCGTTGCAGGGCTAATCGGCTGTGAATTGGGCATTGGAAGAAGACTTCACAGGTGACTGCTGCGTGAAGTCTGTGTAAATAGGGGCTTGCGTGGTGTTATTCACTTTGCGCTCGAGAGGCGACCTGAGGTCAAATCTTATGTGTGGCAAGTATGCAGCTCTCAGGTATCAAGTTTGGAATGTCAAACATGTATAAAACCATGAACATAGATTACGAACACATATCTGGGTAGACAGGTAGGCTTTCAAAGGCGGAAGGCGTGGAAGGAGGGCATGGTCATTAGCCGGCCTCGTCTTTCCCAAAACAGCACCCACAAATCTCTAAAAATGGGAAGCCACGAATGTGATAAATTAGAGCTCGTTGGGAAGGTGCTCCTTAATGGGCGGTTGCCTGGAATCATTGCACTCGATCATCCATATTGCGCGGAGGATGAAGCTAGTCGCGTCGTTCTCCTTCAAAGAAACTCCATGAATGCAACTCAAGGGCATCAAACTTGCAACAATATCATTCAACATACAAACGTATGACTAGTGACTAAGACAACCAGCTCCTATGGACGAGACGGCTCGGTCGCGGGGCGACCAATCATACCAGATGATCGAGATCCCGATCCAAGATCCGGTGCAGGAAGCTCTCGATTACGCTCAGCAGAATGACTTACTTAAAGGCTTGGACGCGGATCCGGTGTCTGAAATGATTTATGCTAGCGATGTGCTCCAATTGATGGTTCCGAAGACAAATCCGGATGGCTTCACTGGTGACGACCACCTGGGAGCGTTTGAGCTTCCCAGTGTGGTCTCGATCAATGACGCATGGGCTGTATCGAGTACATCTCTCACGATAATTCAAAATATCTGTCGCATGCCCAGCGACAAAGAAGTTCAAGATCTTGCCAAGTTGGCCTGTCCACTGGGATCCGCCAAGGCTATGAAGCTCGAACTACCAGTGCTTCGTAGCGACAACGGGTTCGACTACCGCCAGATGTGTGCACAAATAAGAAGTCGACAAGAAGCCTTCGTCGGTGGCCACAGGCTACCGCTAGAGCCAACAGACACGGAGAAGGATGAGGGCATGGAATTTCCCTCTGCTGCCCGCCAATGCAGCGAGATTTTGATGAAGCAGATTGAGAGGGAGACCATCGATGTACCGAAAGATGCGTTCCAATATCTAGCTAATCAGCTAAGAACCAGCTGGACTGAGGACGCTCAGTGGCAACTCCTGAAGAACGAGTTGACACACAAGCGAGTGAGACTGTCCCGCCTACCATCTCATGAGTATGGATCTAATTTGGAATGGCAGTCTATTGATTTGGACCGTCTGACCCCGCCTATCATCCACGATATAGAAATTCCAGAGTACTTCATCCCATCGCAGGAAGCTTCTCTCGTTCCAATACCATCAGATTCAAGCTCCACCGTCAGCGCCGAGTTGAAAGATGTGGAGGAGGCGCTCTTTCAAGAGGTCAAGGCAGATTGGACCCCAGATTTGCTATCTTCTCCAGCAGAGCTGCGCACAATTTCAAGTTCTCCGGTGAGGGACTTTCTACTGTCACAATCAGCAACGCGAATGCGACCCGGAGATCTGAAACTCGAGGCACCTTTGATCCGCGATAAGCTTGGTAGTGCGAGTCCTGACAAGCAGCTTATGTTGGAAGAAATCATAAAGTCACTGCCGCAGGAAGAGTGCGAACAACCTTTTAAAGACGAAGAAGAACTGGAAGTGTCATTGAAGACGGAGCTAGAACAGGCAGAAGTGAAAGTCATGAGATCGATTGAGCAAGAGCACCTTGAACCGCTTGATGCTCGAGCTCGTGTCCCAGTACCCATTATGGATTTCAGAATTCCGGAGCCAGAATGGACTCGACTTGGATTCAACGCAAGATCTCTCTTCAGTTTTATCAGGGAAGGAGCAGGAGGTGACTTCAATCTTCCAAAGTGGCCAAAAAACAGGCGCAGAGAAGAAAAGATGTGGTGGCAACCTCTTATCTCTGGTGCGGGCAAGATATCGACAGATGAACCATTGGATTTAGATGATGATCTAGTGGAGAAACTCCTCTCCTTATCATGGGACAGTACTGTCCTCTCAAGCACTGACTTTGTCTGGAAGCGGCCCGGACTTGCGGCTCTTCGCGAAACCACATACAAAGATGAGGAGGAAATCGAACCAGCCTTCCCCAAGGCCACATCGCCTAACGATCTGATGGCCATTGTGAAAGAACAGAAGAAGCTATCGACCAAGGTGTCAAAGGATAAGAGTCTGAGCGCTTCGCAAGTCCCCAGTGGAGACCAGGTTGACAAGACTTCACATAAGAGGTGTCCGGAAAATGTGGGCGATGAACCACCCCTGCTTGCAGGCGATGACGGGACGACAGCATCTACACTTCTGGAGAACTTCATGAAGCTGCATGCGCAAAAAAGACCGAAGATCGCAAAGAGTCCTTACTTTGCGAAGTGCCTTGAGGAATCCGTCAAGTTTGCTAACCTGAAAGATGCTATGGCCCCCAAGAATACACAGCCACTACCCTTGGCCTCATTGCCCTCGGCCCCATGTCCAACAGTTAAACCGCCATCCGACCTAATGAAGATTATTGCTTCGGTAAATCTCTCACCGCAGTTGTCCAAAGGACTGCAGCAATTCATCCCTCATCTCGGGATTGTGAAGAGAGATTATTCCGCCCACAACACTTCGGTGTGGTATCCGGGATCTGTCTGTAGATCGGAGGTGATGCCAGCTCTTGCCGAGGAGGTGGACATAACTATCTCCCCGGCTACAGGAATCATGATCACAACAATGATTAAAGTACGCCAGAAACCGGTCCCAGGAACCAAAGGAAGATCTGTACTACGGGCATTCATTGAGAAGGCGAGCTTGCGATATGAAAGGCTGATTGTGCTCGTCTCCGAGGGAAGCAGAGATGACACTATGGCGGCAATGTCGTCATCCGACGCAACAGCGTTCATTGAACTCCAAGGCTTCGCCGGTAGCCTGGACTGCAATACGTCAGTGATCTACGTCGCAGGT